ATTTGGCTTAGGAAAAATAAAGCATTTTAGTTTTTCAATACAATGAAAACTTGAACACAACTATTCGAAACATAATGTTTTGATTTCACTTTGCCAAAAATCGATAGTAATTAAAATATTAAAAATATTTTAAAATATGTAAGGCCAATAACAAGAAAAAACAGTTAAAGTATAAAAACAGTATCGATTTTTGTTTCCCAAATTTTTGACTAATCAATGAGTATGCAAACGCCTTTTCGTTCGCGTTAATTGCTGCCAGTGCTTCGCATTTCTGAGACCGAACATGCAATCAATCAATCAATCAATCAGTGGACACACGTTCAACATGATTAGACTTCGTCCCGTTTAATTAGTCCGTGGTCAGTGAGAGCCGTGAAAAAGTTGTTAACACCGGGGCCAACACGGCAATTGTTTGTGCCGTGTCCGAAGTGGTTTAGATTAATGGTTAGCCCGAGCTAAAAGCGCAGAGGGTGGATAAGTAGGTCATTTTCACGTGTGCATGTCGCTTATCACTCTTTTAGTAGTGGCTCCCTTTTCACTATTATATCTTCACTGGAAACTAAGCCAAGAAATGTTAGGAATCATTGAACAAATTTAATTTTAAGGCTATAGAAGCACAAAATAAAACTGCAATGAAATTAAACCTTAAAGAAAACCATAAGTAACTGACTAGTTGGTTAAATTAATGGTTTTTTTATCAATCAAGAGTTATGTTTAAAAGAAAATGATTTTTGTCTTTTGACTTAAATTAAAGAGCAAAATTTACGGAATGATTAAGCCAAGAAGTTGCTTCCTTCCCTAACCTTTTCTCAGTGTTTTCCACATTCCGTTCTCGCTCAATTTCTCTATTAAAAATCGACTCAGTTTCATAATTTACGTTTCCCCCACAGCTGAAACCAACCAAACTCTGGGGGAGCGTGGGTTGAATGGAGCCATAAAAGTGGACATAAATAGCTTCCCGGTGGGGCATAGATAAACCCTCAGACGGAGTTCTCTGTCCCTTTCCAGCGACCCCTCTGCGCAAGACGCAGACAAATTATGGACAAATTATGTCGACCTGGAAATGAGCAGCGGGCAAATGCGAGCCTGGTTTCAGCCTCATTATATAGCTGGCTGCTTCCTACGCTGCCCACCCACCACCTAGTATCCACCACCCACAACCCACACACCCCCACCATTCTGTTTGCCTGCGTTGTCGTCTGTTTGGCTTTTGGCTTTGGGGCTGCGGCTTGGCCATATTTAAATCGCAGGAAGTCAGCGCCAGGTTAGCTACGGGCTATAATATCCCATGTGCTCCTATACACACACTTGTGTGTGTGTTTGTGTGTGCCCTAGCGTGTGTGTGTGTGAGTGCTGGTGGCCACTTCCGGTCGTTTGTCGCCATTTTCATAATGTCTGCCTTTGGCCCGTAGGCGTTTGTTGATTTAGTTCTGCCTTTTATTTCTCGCACTCGCACTGCTGACGCTGGGTTTTATTTCTTCTCTTGCAATTTACAAAACGGCAAATATTTAGGTCGCCACCAGCGAAGCTTGCTCGATTTTAAAAATGCAATTCAAGTTGCAAAAAATTTGTATATGTATTTGTACGAAAAAGTTTTAAATTTTTTTTTGCGTTGAGGGTGCTTGCATTGGGCCCCACTGCACAATTTGTTATATTATTTAGCGAAGTTCACTTGAGCGTGTAGTTGAAATGAAAATGGGCATGGTCCAGGCGCCGGAGGGTAAGAGCAGGTGGGGGAAGACGGATAAGCCGTGTCGGCAGTTTGGCGGAAATTGAAGCATACAAAAAAAAAATAAATAAATAAAAAAAAAAACAAACTAAAAAAATGAGAGGCAAGGAGAGCCAGAAGAAATTGTTGCAGTTGCAGGTGCAAAAGTGGAGCTCGACCACTCAAACCCCCGGCACATTCCGAAATGTTCCCCACGCTGTAAATATAAAACATAAAATATGCAGCAGACGAGAGACAGGCTTTTAAAATATTGCTTAAAATTTTATAGCAGGGGGGCGGTTGCAGCTGAAGGCGGGATATAATTGGAGTGCCCGGCAGCGAGTGGTAGAACGCCCCGTCTGCTAGCTGCTTTAAATTAATTTTCATTTAGTCAATCAATTTGTATGTTCTTCTATCCACTGTCAAATACCCACAAATCCCCTGACAAACGCAGATGGGAGTCATCTATCTATCGCAGGAAATGCAAATCATGTGCTGTGCTGTAAAAACAAAAAAAGAAAAGTGCAGGAAATCTGGAGTGGAGTAAAGCGAAACAAAAAACGTTTGGCAGTTTGAAAAGCATGTCAAGCGACTAAATTACCTTTATGCTGGATGCCACTTACTCAACCCGATCGCTTAAGTTTTCCCCTTTCGTTGTACCTTTTTCTTGCCCCATACTTATCGATTTCCTTGCCAGGCGACAGTTTTTCCACCGCAATTTTCGCGGCGGGTGGCTCCCATCCTGTTTCTCCTCCAGGTTCTTTGCTTTGTTTGCCGACTCCGACTTCTCTACCGCAATACCCCCCAAAAAAAAATCACTTACGTGTGTGCTTGTGCTGCACTTCCGGTTCCTGCACTGTCATTCGTCCTGGCTGCGTCTTTTTGCTTCGTTTTTCCTGCTGTTTGCTGGCCAGGCCTGCATTATGCATGTTGCTCGCAAAATTAATGTGATTTACAATTTAGACGATGTGCAGACATAAACGACACACAACACCGAAGGAGACGGGAAGGAGACCAACCAAAATGCTCGAGGGTCATGAACTAAGTTTATTGTGCACATTTAAATGAAATTGCCGCGCTCAATTTATACGCTAAGCGCCCAAAGGCATTGCTAGGTAACTTGCTATGAAAAAGTGAATAACAAAAAAGCTCTAGAAAAAGAAAATTTTTCTGGTCGAAGTTTCGAATACACTTTAAAGAAACATTTTTAGGATTTAAAGAGCATGGTTATACCAAAACTAAAATGTTCAAAATCGCTTTAATAATTATTTATACATTTAAAAATAAAGAAAATTTAAAAATACTTGTTTTAATTTAAATTCAGCATAACAGATTAATAAATTATTATCTGTCGAGTGTTCAAATGGAAATGTTTCAATGGAAAAGAGAAATTGAGGAAAGAAAAACTATGGCCACAGGCAAAAAACATTCAACCAACTTCACACTGACTACTCCATTTCCCCGGACTCCACAACCACTACCACCATCGCTTATTCATTTCGTTCGGTTCGGTTAGGTTTTGTTCCCCTTCTGCTTTTTGTTATTGTTTAACGGTGCCATAGTTTTATGGAATATTCGTGTTGTCCTTGCCAATGTTGTTGTTTTTACTGGTTACTGGCCTGGCATCGTTTTTGAAATGTGTGCATATTGTTGGAATAATTGACTAGGTTTTTGTCAATGGTTTTTGTTTGCTTGCCTGGTTTTTCAGCCGCTGCCATTGGTACTAGGACCTAATGTGCCATTTGTTGACTGTTTCTATAGGCATAGGCAAATGGGTTCACTGACTAGCCAAGTGACTTGGAATTTGTCGAGCTATGCATTTCAGAGAAAAAGCACTAGAGAATTATGACCTGTCTAGATCCAAATCACATCGGTTTATATTTGATTTTGGTAGTTTTAAAGGGATTTCAGAAGACTTTAAATATGTGCTGACTGGGAAACTCCTGAAAATGTAGAACTGTTAAGCTTAAACTCAAAATTCTGATTGCCTTTAAATCAATAGAGCTTTACTTAAGCTATGGGTACAAAAATATTTCAAAAATTTAATAATGTTTTAGCTGTAAAATAAGTGCTTATGAGACAAGGTAGGTCCTAAGAATTTTGTGTTTGTAGTACAAATGATGTCCTAAGAATGTCAACAATGATGTTATCACCCCTTAATCGTTCTTAACGTCGAAGTTCTTTCCTTATGTTTCTGTTGGAGTATACTCAGCTTGGAAAAACTAAACTTTCCCCCACAGAAACCCATTCACACAACCGAAGACACTCTCCGCCGTCAATCTCTTAATAAACACTTGCACAGCTCTTAATTACCCAATGCAAACTTGCTCAAGTAACACAACTTGTCCTTGAGGTGTGTAGGGTGTTACTGCTGGCACTACTTGTACCTGCTGCTCAGGTCGATCTGCTCCTCTGACCCATCGCACCTGCACCCACTTCCTGTCGCGTCCTCCTCTTAATTTTCCTCCTCCGGAAACCTTTTTTCCCAGGCGCTGGAGAACTTCGCTTGACTGGCTGTCATACAAGTTTGTCAGCTTGTTTGGCTGCGTGTTAAACAAAAACGTGGTAACAACTTTCAAGTCAAAGTTTTCTTGACTCTTTTGTCAATTACCGTTAGTTAGCAAGGTGGGTGTTGTGGGTGGCGAAGGGTAGATTCAGAGTTTTGACTGCTTAAGACCATGGCCACGCATTAGGCCATTGACAAGGCGATTGGGAATGTTATGTGGTAGAAATCTCTTGCTGTCTTTCCGTGTTTGTATCTTTGTTTTTTCCCCTACTGCTGTACTGAAAAAATAGTTCAGAGAGTATAAACCTAAATTAAGCTGAGTTGCAGACAAATTGTATGCTATTTGTACTATATTCATATCAAAGCAGTTTAAATTCGAGATTTGAAAATAAAAAATCAAAAATTTACCAGTCAAAAATGTACAGCTCAAGAAGTCAATAGTCGATTTTAGAATGGATTTTTTTTCCAGTGCTGTTTTACTCTGTGCTTCCTCAATTAATTCCCATTTAAGCTTAGGCTATTCGTTTGCGTAACCGAAGCAGATAGATGGAAGTTCTCCTGTGTGTGTCTCGGGCTAATCCATCATTATTGATTGGCATTAAGTTGTTTTCGGTGTGTGTCCTGGCATTATGTAATGGCCTTCGAATTAATGAGCATTTATTTATGGCGGAGCTGGGTCGAGAAATCCCCCAAAACGAACTGGCTAATTAAAACGCAACTAACCACATGAAACGACCGCTATTCCTGACTCACTCTAAAACTCTGTCTCTTTCTGTTTAATTGCAGTTATCACTCGGAAAGGAAAGGACACGGCTAAGCCTCAGGATGCGAGGAAAAAGGATTTGAAATTACATTTTTAATGCAGCCCAGGCAAGAAAAAGAGCGCGAAATGAGCAACACGTGCGCGCTTTATTTTAAATATTTATAAGCAGAGCAAACACACACACACAGCGAAACGCGCATCAACACACTGGCACACACACATATTTAGGTGACCAAAGTTAAGCCTCGTCAAATTCCATTAAAAATTCATCTTAACGGTTATGCGTTTTATACAAACAGCAGCTAAGGAGCCGAGCGGAAAAAAATGTTTGTAAATATTAAAATGAATTTATGTGCAGCGCAAAAGTTTTTAATTAAGTGAAAAGCGAAAACACGAGTGAAAACGATAAAACGCGCCGCCAACAAATCATTGCGACAGCGAATTCGAGCACAAGCTTAAATATTTGAAGCGATGTTCGAGGAGAGCGAGCCCAATTTATTTGCATATTTAATGCTCGTTCAGTGAGCCGCAATCAAGCCGAGCGCCGAATACTAACTAAACAGTAATCACCATCACCATCGCCATCAGCCAAGCGGATCGGGAGCAGAGTCATAGCCATGTCCATCACCGTCTTATTCCTAATCTGCCTGATCATGGGAGCTCTATCCTATGCAAATTCGCACGAGCATGCCGATGGCTTCAAGCCAGGTAAGTGATTAAATCAAATACAGTCTTTGCTGGCAGTTGGCTGTCGAAAATATCCGCTGATCAAATGTAATTAAAAATTGTTAATTTAACCCCGCAAATCTATAATTGTCCTGTTGTTTTCCCTGCTTTTTATTTTATTGGTAATTGTTTGCTGTACCATTTGCATATTTGCCTGGGTTCCGTTTCATTTGTAATGGCCATTTTTCATACCCACATTGTTTACTCGTATTTTTTCCAGCCTTCAGCCTGGCTTTAAATTGCAAGAGTTTTTTGTTGTGAAACTTTTATCATACGCAAAGGAAAAATAAAATGTAATTATGAAGCAAAAGTTATACACTTTTAATTAGTCGCTTGTGACATTGTTTTGAAGAATTTAAGTCAAAGAAAAGTCTGCTGAGAGATAAGGTTTATTTGACTAATTAGGCAGAAGACAAACATTTTGTTTGAGGACATTTAAAAATATGGTTATACTATATACATGTATTTTATTAAATTATCTGTATTTCTCCTTAATCAATTGATTCATTTCCCTTGACGCTCCGCCCTTAATTGAACATTTAAATCCATTGTTTGAAGTTCAGTACATATTTTTTCCGACCAAACATTTAAAAATGTGGTCAACCATTTTTAATCCGAAAGTGTCGTTTGCATAAACGAACAAAAGTTTTTCGAGCGAGAGGTAAAAATGTTTATATTAATGCGGAAAGAAAGAAATAAAATGTTGCAATTTTTACAACTTCATTATGTATACTGGATACTTTGTTGCTGTAGCTTTTTTCCTGGGCGACATGTGCGCACTTCCTTCCTCGCAGCACCATCCAGCAATAAACGCCAATACTGGCCACAAATCCACAAAAGCGTCACCTGTGTCACCTCGGCTGCTCCTGGATGCCAGGATGTCAGGATGCCGGGATGGCGGTATGCCCACCCCACCGGGCAGGATGTTGTTGGTCCCGCTCCCTGCGGTAGCTACTTTGGCTGACTGTTCTGCCTCACCGGTCTGAAGCTCAAAAAAAAATGTATAAATTCTCATTTTTATGTGTCTACGTTGGACTTTACATTAGCTTTGCCAGCGATGCTGCTGCCCTCGCTGATTATCCCCGGGGAGCTATAAAAAGAAATATAACATGGCACTATATATAGTATGGTAAATATATGTGCATTTGTTGTTATTTCACTGGATATGTGTGTAAAAATATATTTTGCTGTCCACTTTTGGCCAGGGGAATTTTTACGGCGTTGGCATGCGAAATTGAGTTAAACCATGAACATTATCATATTGCAAGGTTAACTTTATTTTACGGGTATAAATTATCGATCATTTGCGCTCGCTGCGCTGCGCAAGGTTTTAAAACGTGCTAGACGCACCTGGCACATAAATTACGTAATGGAAAATTAGAGACGAGGGTGGGCTGGCCCACTTGAGGAGCGCTTTAATTTCATTAGGCAACACTTGGCGCTTGAAGCTTCAAAGCACCGCCGCTTACATAATAATTAGTAAAATAAATTTCACCTAAATAAACAGAGCGAGAAAAAGGCAGCATCACTGAGAAAACAAACCATCTCTCGTCCCCCCTTCTATATGGTCCTATATCTCCGGGAAGGTGCGCCAAATGGCCACGTCAAACGCACGTTCACGACCCACTTACTCTGCGTCCTTTTCGCCAGCGAAGGACAGCATCCTTAGCAAATTATTTCCCATCATTTTTCACGCAAAAAAAGCGCACAAATTTTAGCGAGCTGGAGAAACATGCAAAGTGGCACGGCGCAGGACAGCAGCCAGTTGTCAACGGGCGTCGATGTCCGGGAAGAATAATACCAGCGGAATGGCTTGTAGGACGATGTCGTCGCTCGAATGAAATCTAATTAAAGGCCGCCGAACGTGCAGTTCCCGGACTGCAGTTAACGGCTCCAGCTGAATGCTTTGCAAAAACAGAGGGCCAGACAAGGGCAAATGTTTTGGTAACCAAAACGGCCGTTCTTGGCCAGAAAACGTGTCCATTGAAATTCAGGGGGGAGGTTTAGAGAACCATTAAAGCACATGCTTTGCTTTCAAATGTAATCAGGAACTTCGGAAATCAGAATCGAGGCTTGTAAACGGGTTTCCCTAAAACTAGGTATGGCTTTTGAGCTTTAAGAAGTATAACTTCTCTTGTTGTCTAAGAAATTATAGAAATCAAAAACATAGTTTAAATGTGTCTTCGTAAATAAGGCAGTTTAGCTTAACTTGCTACTGAACACTAAACACTTAACTGTCGGAAGAAAACAAATTCATAAAATACTGATTTAGGAATAAACGTTTTGTCCTTAAATTTAATATATTTCATTACCTAGTTTTCTATAAAACTAAAGAACGTCGAATTTATGTTTTACTCCCTTAGAATATGTGTTCTAAAAATGTTGATATCTTAAGAACGTCGTGAACTTTCAAGTCACACATTTTCCTGAGCTATGGTCCATTTCGACCGCCAGCATGGCTGCCAACACAAGCGAATTCTAATTCAATTTCGGTGACAGCACATAAATAAAAGAAACATTTTGAGTAGAAGCAGTCAAAACGAAAAAACTGTAAATGCAATTCCTTGGCAAAAACGACGGAGAAAACTGTAAGGATAAATACAGACGAAGTGGGGAAAAAGAGCACAAATGTCAGTTTTCCCAGGACTGGACCGGCCGCAACTACAACTGCCACTACGAAAATAACCCCCTGTGTTTGTGTGTATAATACCCTAACAACATTTCGACGAATCGTTTACCAATTTTTCTGACTGCTGCAAATCAAAAGCGAGAAACGACTGAAATTTCTCTGCAAACCAGGATCGGCAAAAAAAAACTTTTTAAATTAACTAAAAACAAGAAAGAAAGCAAACTTCGGCAAGCCGAAGTTCATATACCCTTGCAGCTATCGCAAGAATTAAATATTTTTGAAAACATTAAAATTATGATTTACTTGCGTATATGTTTAAAAACATTGAAGCTATGACGATTTGCAGCTTAATTATTTGATTGTTCTTTTATATATTTTTATTATTTGTATGGGAGCTATATGATATAGTCGTCCGATTTTGATGAAATTTAAACAATAATTCTAAAATATTTAACCATTGCTATATGTCGAAGAACTAAACAAAAAATTAAAAAACAGCAAAGTTACAATTTTTTTCAATTGTTTTTCCGATTGTTCCTATGGGAGCTATATGCTATAGTCGTCCGATTTTGATGAAATTTTAAACATAATTCTGAAATATTTAACCATTGCTGTATGTCGAAGAACAAAACAAAAAATTGAAAAACAGCAAAGTTATAATTTTTTTTCAATTATTTTTCCGATTGTTCCTATGGGAGCTATATGCTATAGTCGTCCGATTTTGATGAAATTTAAACCATAATTCTGAAATACTTAACCATTGCTATATGTCGAAGAACTAAACAAAAAATTAAAAAACAGCAAAGTTATAATTTTTTTTCAATTATTTTTCCGATTGTTCCTATGGGAGCTATATGCTATAGTCGTCCGATCCGGCTCGTTCCGACTTATATACTACCTGCAATAGAAAGACAACTTTTGGGAAAGTTTCATGCAGATAGCTTTAAAACTGAGAGACTAGTTTGCATATAAACGGACGGACAGACGGACAGACGGACAGACGGACGGACAGACGGACATGGCTAGATCGACTCTACTAGTGATGCTGATCAAGAATATATATACTTTATAGGGTCGGAAACGTCTCCTTCACTGCGTTGCAAACTTCTGACTGAAATTATAATACCCTCTGCAAGGGTATAAACAGCAAACAAAAAAAGTGGGTGGGTGGCATTGGGGTGGTTGGGACACGTTGTCGCTGGTGTTGGCATTCGGTTTGAGGATTTTAGAGCAAAGTGGAAAACTTTTAGTGGCATGTTTACAAAATAAACTTCAGCTTGCAAAACGGGCAGAAATAAAGAAAAATGCTGATTGCTACCAACAACACAGTGTGGCCGAAAAAAAATGATTATGATGCGTGGGTGGTTGGCGGTGGGTGGATTGCCTTCTCCTATGTATCAGCTGACACACATTTTCGGGGCAAGGTAAGAACAGCGAAACCCGGCTTTGCCAACTTTTGTTTTGTTTGTTGTCACTGTCACTGTGTGTAGGCCAGAAAAGTTTTTTACACCAGTTTTTATACTGCTCATTTTTTTTGGAGGGAACGTTTCGTGTCCCCACTGTTATTGTTGTTGCTGCTGCTTTTTCTGCTGACAGTTGGGCAAACAAAGCATAATTTTTAATCTGGCCGGGCAAACATTGTTACATATGCGACACACACTCACCGAGTCCGCCCCAATAAAAGAGGAAACTCCACCTGAACATGGCTTTTAGCTTGATTGTTGATGGGCCACAGCAAAAACAGCAGCGGCAGCAGCAGCAGCAGCAGCAGTAGCAGCAGCAGTAGCGAAAAATGGAGAAAATTATGTTTATTTGGCTTTGGCCCCGATTTGTTACGCATACGCAGCGTATGATGCCGTACGTGACAATATCATCAAGTTGGGCTCCGTGAATTTGTTGATTCAGAGTTTTTCAACTCTGTGCTTTTATAAAATGGTTTATGCCCCGTATGAAAAACTAATTAACAACGTTGCTAGCGATAAACTTGTACCAAAATATTGTTTATTATTTTCGTTCGAACAATGGAACCTTATGAATTTCTTAATTTTAAGCTGTTGTACCCCGAAAAGAGTAAACTTTGTAGTTTTATTATTAATCACAGAAAATAAGAGGTCAGACATGTATTGAAAAATAAAAACCGAAAAATATGAGGAGCAGAGTATTTTGGAGTTTGTACTTAAAAATTTGCTTAGTATTTAATTTAGTTTTTTGTTATGATTGCTTTAAAGTTGCACAGAGCTGAAAATTATGAACCTGTCTGAGGATCGGGGAACTCGGAGGTAATGTCAAATATGACAGTTATTGGCGTCATTCAGTCGAAAAGCGTTACCGGCTTATTAATGCGTAATATGCG